AGTTTTCTGCACACAGGATGAAGAAACCACATCAGTGTCTTGGCTGTCAAGTTGCCTATAGTTTATATTAATTTTTAAAACAAATACATATAAAATAATCCCCTCTTCAATCTCCCACAATCCAGACAATAATGATGTGCTTCATATTTTGAACTGAACTAAATTGTTGGAGGAGGATGAGAATGTACTGGCTGAAATCCTGTTGAACAGTTACAGAAATGGTTTAAGTTCTGGAAGCAAATTGCCATAAATTAAGAAATCTCTGCAGGCATTATCTGTTGCACATTGAGTCATACAACTCAGTGTGCAACAGGTAATATCTATAGAGATTTCTTAACTTACAGCAATTTACATCAAAAAGCGATGTCATTCATGTCACTAAGCTACAGGATTTCAGACAATGAGTAGTGAATGAAAGTAATTGAAGATAAATCCATTTTGAATGACCTGGGCAACAAATTAATTGGAGATAACAGGTAAATTAAGTGAATTGGAGATAAGTTGCAAATTTATTGACAAAGTTATTAGATGCAAATTTAACTGGTTTCAATTCTATAAAATGTAAACTGTAATTACAGTGGTGCCTTGCTAGACGATGATAATCCGTTCCACTGAAATCGCTGTTTAACGAAATCATCGTCTAGCGAAAAGCATCTCCCCATTGGAATGCATTGAAACCTGTTTAATGCATTCCAGTGGGGAAGAATCATCATTGTCTAGTGAAGATCGGCCATAGGAAAGCCAATTTGCGAACCGCCAATCAGCTGTTTAAATAGCCGTCTTGTGAAGCTTAGGTCCGGAAAACACCCATTTTGCGAGTGCGGAGGGAGCTGTCAAAATCATTGTCTAGCGAAAATCGGTTTGCAAAGCAGGGATCAAACATTGTCCAATGAAATTCCCCCATAGGAATCACTGTTTTGTGAATTGCTATAGCGATCACAAAAAGTCAATGTCTAGCGAAAAAACTCATGCGGGGTAACTGTCTAGCGAGGCACCACTGTAATGTATTCTCAAAGGCTTTCACCATCCAATTAATGTATTCTCAAAGGTCGATCACCATAATCACCCAATGTCCTGAACAGGACAAAAAGCTGATCCCACAGCTATAAACACCCAACTATCCCACAAACTGCACCAGAGCACAGAGAGAGTTCTGACTCCTGTCCTCTGAAGATGCTGGCCATAGAGACTGGTGAAACGTTAGGAAGAAAAACCTTAAGAACATGGCCAAACAGCCTGAAAAAACTACAACAACCATAAATTGTAATTATTTTTAAATGTATAGAAAGTTCAAATATCTATGCATATAAGTCAGCATGTGCAAATGCCATTCACATATGTAGTTGTGGACCAGGGCTTTTACACATCTGACAACTGCCCTGCTGCCAAATAGCAGGGAAATCCTATGGTACAAGTATGCCAGGCAGCTGCTACATTAGACCTAGTATTAGTACAACATAGACACAGTCTTACAAGCTTCCAGTCAATAGAACAATACCTCTAGAAATAAAACTAGCATAGCAAACTGGACAGACACATTCAAGTACCAGAGGCAAAATGAGCACATTGATGCATCCTTTTCTGATCACGGTGTCTCCATATTCAGGGAAGGCATGGCATTGAGATGGACGCAGAACAAAGATTACCTCCCGATACTGCAGGGATGGAGAGATGTGACTCTGCTTTGCTGTCCTCTTCCATGGAGGGGGTTGCAAAACCGATGCCGATGCAAATTTGACAGATGGATAACTGTCGCCCACCTGGTCGAAACAGGGCTAGAATGGGCTGAGGCTAGGTTGGATATGACATCAGTCTCAGAACGGCTATGACTTGGAGACAAGCTCATTATCGAGACCGAAGCTTGAGCCCGAGTAGGAAGACCCAATTCCCTTGCTGCAGAATTGGAGTCTTGGTCCGGGATGTGCCTTGACAATTCCTCCAAGATGGGAGGGAAACGTGGACAGCTGGCTGCTCATGAGGCTGATGAGGCTAGGGAACCCGTTTAGTTTTCTTTTGCTTGACTCTGTCCTTATCCCTTTGCGTTTTAACAGATTGAACACGAGGAAGACTTCGACATCGAGGTCGACATCGATATCGAGGGAGGTTTAGGCTTGGAAGCCTTGGTAGATGTTGTCGACGAGGGAGTAGTGAGAGCCAATGGGATGGAGGGCTCACATCGAGCCAATAGAACTGGGGTAGGTTCCATTGTGGGGCTGGTTGGAAGATTGGAAGGTGCCAAAGATTCTTCCCACAAGTGGGATTTCAGTTGTTGAAGCTGGAGTTTTAGAGCTGGTTTTGTCAACTTTTTACACTCAGGACAAGTGTGACTTTGGTGACTCTCATCCAGACAGAGCAAGCAATGATCGTAGCCATTAGTAAAAGGAATTTTATTGGCACACATTGTGTAGTACTTGAATGGGCCTGAGGAAGCCATTAAAAAAAGGCGGGAAGGGAGGGGGGAAGACAAAGAAAAGATAACTCACAGGGAACGTCAATAAATTAAAAACTTGATTAAGTCCGTGATCCAATAATCGAAAAACTGTTAAGCAGTCAAAAGATCAGAAAAGCGTAGATAGAATCACAAATTGCTCGAAGAGTCACAAAGAAGTCCGATTTTGGCAGTGGCTAAAAGGAACTGAGGTATTATAGGTGGGCGGAGCATGTGTGCCACGGGGCAACGTCCTACTAATCACATGTTTTTAAGCTCTAGAATATCCTGAGGCGTCCTGTACAGGTGCAGTAAAACCCATTTGTGCGCATTCACAGAGGCCACGATGAAGAAGCATCCTTTTCATGCCTTAATTTTCTCCACAAAACAGTATAGTACCCTCCCAATAGCCACTGTGTTATCTATTATGTATGCATCATATCACTAGTGGTGTGAAAGAGCTGAACTGAACACAAGCTTTGATACCATTAGCATTTATAATCAGCAGATTTACAGCATAATCCTCTCCATGCATACATTATCTTAACTATCCTAGTTGGTACAGTGGTGCCCCACATAACGAGCGCTTCATTTAACAATGAATCCGCATAGTGATGTGTTTTTTGTGATCGTCTTTGCAAATGCACTGTGATGTTTTAAATGGTAAAACATCGCTTTGCGATGATCGGTAAGCTGTTTCGCTTACCGATTTTCACATAGCGATGTTTTTAGAACAGCTGATTGGTGGTTCCAAAATGGCCACCGGGTAAATAAAATGGCCGCCTGCTGTGTTTTTGCGCCCATTCCTCACTTACTGGGCAGCGAAAATGGCGGCCGCATGGCGGATTTTCGCATAATGGTGAGTTTTTTGCCCATAGGAACGCATTAAACATGTTTTAATGGATTCCTATGGGCTTTTTTGTTCCTCATAGTGACGAATCCGTATAGCGACGATTTTTCCAGAACGGATTATCGTCGCTATGCAGGGCACCACTGTATATGTTTGAAGGAAAGATACTTCATTGTGTTTAAGTCCTAAGTAAAGAGAGGATTTCTCTCTTTCTGTTTCTTTATAGAGAATTAATGGCACTCATCTTCTTTGTCTATTTGAGGTGGAACTTAAGTACAAATAGAGGTGCCACAGAGCCAGGGTGGTGTAGTGAATGTAGTCACGCACTAGTACCCTGCTTGGCTATGGAAACATTTCTGGGCACTAGTAAAACCACTCCTTAATTACCTCATACAACCTCTAAAGGTTGCCATAAATTGCAATTTAATGGCACATAAAACAAATGTAGCTTAAATTGTAACTTTTTGCTTTAAATTGCAGGGTTTATTTTTACTCTTTAGGAAATTCCCCTGCTTTATGAAACACAGGGACATGTACACAGCAAGAAAGTCTGTCTTGAATGAATAATTAGAGGTATAAAGAATGATTTGTTTTTAACCATTTTACCAATAAAACAAACAGTCAAAAGATAGATAAAACCTGATTGTCACTGTACAAAGTAAATAATCTTCTTGCAGTTGATTCTAACTTGTAGCTGAATCTGTAAAGCAACCACTCATTCACAAAGGAGGGGGAGCTGCTATTTAAGCTTTTCTCTTGAAGAGACAACTTATTTGCTGTAAAAGTTGTTACAACCTCAAAGTTTCCCCCAGAAAACTTTTTCCAGCATCAGATATATTGTACCCAAAGCTAGTCTTGGAGGCAGGGTAGAGGAAAGCGGAAAACTACACTTTTCAGCACATAATTGCCACTGTAACTTGTCCACATGGGTAAAAGACAACAATATAGACTTAAAGCTTTCAAAAAGTGGAAGAATTGAGAGGAAGAACCAGCAGCAGTGAATAATAGCTGTAATGAACTGATGGAGATGTTTGGTACGTGAACCAGAAATAAATGTGAAAGGGTATCTAATGTCTTCACCTTAGATTTTTTTAAAAAGTCTTTTTAACAGTATTCAGATGAAAGTAAAAATGGCAGCCTTACCTCATTGACAAAGTGAAACAGAGAGTGGTTATGCAAGGAGAATGATAAAGAAGACATGAACAGGAAACTACATAATCAACTAAAGGTGTAATGTTTTGCATATTTGCTCAGAAATTAATCCTGTAGGGTTTTAGGAAGCTTCCTCGCAGTTAAGTCTGCATAACTGACATGTTTGGGAATAAACCCCATTGAACTCTTTGGTACTTTCTTCTAAGTAAGTCATACAAGAGATGTGTAGGATTTGTACTGTGTGAGTTGCTCATCCAAGATTTTTTTCCAAAAAAATTAAAAAGTATAGTTTGTTTCACACAAGAGGGATGTTTCCAAGAACTGATTTTCAAAATAAAATAAAATTCACATATACCAGGGTACCTTGGTGTTTGCTATCTAATTTATTTTAAAGTCCCAGACTCACTTAAATCAGTACCTGGGCTGCCCCACTTCAAACTGCTGGCCGGAACCTACATAACTAAATGCTTCTGCATACAAGCAAGTTCCATCCCAGTATAAAGCAGGAGGATGGCTAGGTGAAATCCTGTCACCTTGACATCGTCATTGTCTATGGTAGAGAAGTATTCAGTCTCTTACAGAGGCCCAATCAGTCAGGGAAGCCCCACTTTGCAGGCCAAAGGAGTTTTGCCCAAACACAGGCATACCCTCCACCACACCCAGTGAGAATTAGGACAGAGCGTTATTATCCCTTTGGCGGGAAAGTGATTTGTTCAACGTTTTAAGCCATTGGGTCAGCTGTGGAGCCCTTGAAAGGGGGGCCAAAGTTCTAATTCAGGCAACTTTCAGCGATGCTGCAGAGCACGTGGCAAGCCTTTCCTAGTCCCTCTGTCTTCCCCTTCTGGCTGTCTCTTCCTCTCTCCAGCGTTGTGGAGGTCCCTCGTCTTTGGGCAAAGGGCTCCTTGAGAAGCCCTTCAGCTGCTGCCCCTCTCAGGCCCGGTGGAGCTCCTGCAGCTTCCCGCCTGAACTGGTGCCTGAGCCGTCTTGGGCGTGCGAGAGGGAGGAAGGGACGGGGGGGGGGCGCTGAGCGTTGCTGCTGCTGCTGCTGCCCAAAGTCACCGAGAGTCACCGAGGTAGCCAGAAATAGCTTTGCTTGCTGGGCTCGTCCCTGTGCGCAGAGTGAAACCGTGAACCGAGGAGAGGAGAAGGGTGCGCTGCTGAGTAGCCCCCGCGCGAGCAGGAGAGGCGCGGTTGCTAGGAGACCGGCCGGTGCCGGCGGACGGCTTTGCCCGAAGCAGGTACCGGAGGAAGGAGCAGCAGCGTCGCGGGTGCCTTCTCCGTGGCCCGCCCGGACGTGCCCGTCCGCCCGCCCCGCTCGAGGGCTCACGAGACCCTCCAGCTGGGAAAGGAGAGCCGGCGCTCGGTCGGCTCGAGGGGTAGAGATCCGGGGCTGTGGCCGCGAGCCTGGGAAGAAGAGCCGGCGGGGGGAACCTTGCAATCCATGCAGAGTCTGGAAAGGCCAGGCTGGCCGACAGCTCTGGAGAAAGGTAAACGGGGATGCTTCGGGCTCTCCTGCGCGTGGGGAAGAAGGGGGAGAGGCAGCGCGGGGCGGGCTCTTGCCCTCCTGGGAGGGTTGACTTTGGCGCCTCGATCGGCAGTGAAGGGCGAAGGAGAGGTGCGGGCAGAGCGGGAGAGGAGGCGGCAGCGGAGCCCTCGCACCGGGCCGGGGCGAGGATGGCTGTGCCGCAGCGGCAGGAGCGCGGAGCCCGCCGTGTCCTTGGGAAGGATCCTGCGCGCCCGGAGGACAGCAAGGGAGCCCGAGCAGCTCTCCGCGCCCGAAACATGTGGAGGAGGCGAGGGAGGGCGCCAGGTGGGAGCCGGAGCCCCAGCGGGAGGAGAGGAGGAGGGGAGGGATGCTTCTCACGACAAGGGGACGGAAGGGCGGCCGCGCGTCTGCAAGGCGGCCGGTGTCCTTGGGAAACCTCCGGCGGGGAAGGGGAGTGAGAGAGGCGGCAGGGAGCTGACAGGAGAGGCAAGGGGGAAACACGCTGCTCAAAGCATCCCCTAAAATGGACGCAGCCGCAGCTCCTCCTCCTCCTCCTCCTGAGTCCCTTTCAGAGGGCCTTACCCCCCTTTGTGCACCTGTCTACTTGGATAAAGAAATGTGAGAAGAAAAGCATGACCAGTAAGAAAAAAGTAATCGTTCGAGACACTCAGGCCAAAGATTCCTGAGCCATCTAGGCTTCGTGTAGCAATGCCTCAGGAAGATCCATATGCTGCTCAGGTAGGCAAAGGCTTTTGGATTGGTCGCTCACCCTGAGGAATAGAGGAGGGCGTCAAACGCCTTTCCGGGCCCTTGGTACAAATAGGAGTCCTGAGCTGGATGGGCACAAATAGGTTGGTGGCTCACCCTGAGGAATAGAGGAGGACGTCAAACGCCTTGGTACAAACAGGAGTCCTGAGCTGGATGGGCACAAATAGAATGTGGTTACCGGATAACTCTGAGCCTCATCCCATCTTTCTCAGGTCCAAGTGATGGAACAGAACGTCACCGAGGATGGGGATGGGGACACCCAGCACAGTGTGTACATGCTATTCCTGCTGGTTCTGGTCTTCTTTGTCATGGGCCTGGTGGGATTCCTCATCTGCCATATCCTGAAGAAGAAGGGCTACCGCTGCCGGACGTTCCGTGATGAGCTGGAACCTGACAACAAGGAACCATTGACCCCAACAGAAGACGGTGAGTGGGAGGGAGGGAGGGATTGAGGGAGGGCTGGCAAACTGTTCAAGAAGGAGTAGCTACAAATCTATGTGGACTTCATTCTGTAACAGGCTTACCCCCCTGATATGGGTCCCCAAACCAGTGGAGCCTTTTTCTGTTATGATAAAAGAGACATTGCTACCCTGGCTCAGGCTATCTTAGATACCCTACATTTCCTTGTCTCTTTACTTATAATCAGTCTGTGGAGTGGCAATTTGTTTCCTCCTTAGTCCAATTAAAGCTTGCCAGTTCCTTCCCTCCAAAGATTTGCTGTCGTGCTGCCTCTGTCTTTAGTTAGGGAAAGGACCGTAGAGACAAGAGACCTCTCTCTGCCAATGAAGAAGCAGTGTGGGAGGAGGAGGAGGAAGAGGAGTAGAGGGTGAAAAGGAAAGTCGGAGCAGCCTAGGGGTACAAGATGCTTGTGGAGTCAGCTGGTCCCTCAGAAACTCCCGAGGGGCAGCAGGAGCTGTGCTCTCTGGAAGTGTGTGCTCGAGCCTGTGTTGGCTGGATGGTCATGTTTAAACTCAGGGTGGTTGCCCTGCTGCAGCTTTATTTTGGTTGCTTTAAAAGTGATTCTGCTGCAACCACATTCTTATGGGGAAGAGGACGTTTTAGTTTATTGTGGATTTCGGTATCGCTTCAGGTGGTGTGACCACCTTGAGCTGATGCTGGGAAGTGTGTGCAAGGGAGGAAGAAATTGCCAATCAGCCCTCTGACAGTGGTTGTTTCCAGGACGGTTGGATGAGATTATCCCAAAGGGAGGCAAGGGCAAGGTTGCATTCTTACCCCCACCCCAACCCCTGTGTCACAAGCTGGGGAACAGCTTTGCTGGGAGCAAGGAGTCATCAAATGCAAGGGCTCCATTCTCCTGCTGCCTGAATTTCAAAGGGTCCTCACCACTTCAGAGTGCCTTCCTACGCCTAAGCATCAGTCCTTCTCAGATGTCTGCTAATAATACTGTTTCTTTTTCTTTTTTAGGTTTCATGCCACACTTTTGCACTAGGGCACCGGGCGGGGGTGTGTGTGTAGAGGAAGGAATTGCTAATCAGCCCTTCTTTGCATCTTGTTAAGGTAGCTCTGCTAAAGCTGTGTCTCCTGCATATCTGTACAGCTGCATCAGAAGCTGCCTTTACAAGCTGCAAATAAGTGCTGACTGATTTTCAGTTTCCTTCTCCTTCTGCTGACTCCTGTGTGGTTGGCTAAAGTGAAACCAGCTTCCTGGATGGCAATTCAGGATCCATGCAGATTTTCCCCATTCTGTTCCAAGAATTTACTTGATGTTACACCATACGCCTGTAATGTGGGGTTGAAATTGTGTGTCCTGCAGAGTTCATTATGTGTCCTTGGCCTTTCACGTGCCTCAGCCTTGGCTTCTGACTGTTGCTTGAGCCTGCCTCCTCATTCTAAAGGAACAGATCTATGTACTTTTCCATTGTTTTCAAATTATGAGAAAAAAGGTACACTTTTAAGGGTATGTGGAACCATAGGCTCAATGTACAGAAGCAGATGGTAGGCCAGAAATATAAATGTCTGCCATATTGCATGTGTTCTGAAACACCTGTAGGGAAGTGCCTGCTCTTATATAACCTTTCTAAAATTGCATTCCGGCCTTTGGGAGATTAAACTTGAATTTAGGGGCATACAGGCCCCTAAATAGCATACAGCTATTTCATCAGCTAGGAAGAGATTTAAGATTTTACACCTAGCAGTTTCACTGTTCTTTTGCAGGAGCATGCAGTTTATTTTCCTTGGATTTCTTCAGATTTCTAGAAATCTGTCGTAGTGCCATTAACCCTCTTACATATCGTCATTTATTTCCATGTTTTCTCATTCCAGGTGAGGATGAGGAGCTAAATGAGGACACCGTAGAGAAGATAGTGAAATGCATAATTCAAAATGAAGGTTGGCTTAACCATGACTTCATTACTGAGAATTCCCCAGCATTTGGAGGCCTTGCTTTGACATATACCTGTTTTCACCCTTTTCTTAGCAAATGTGGAGGTCCTGAAGGAAATGCTGGCAGAAGGTGACACTGACCCTCCCATGCCTGTGCCAGTGCCCAGGTGAGGAGAGGCTCCAGGTGCATCTTGAGGTTAACCTCATCCTGAGCCTTACCTTCTTCTCTCTTTCCTATTCACGCTAATTCTTGTTTTAAATGAATGATTGTGCCTTGTTGCTTTTAAAATGGGCTTCTAGTATCGATTTTATTTACCATTTTTAATATTTTATTTGTTTAATTCTATTTAAAGGTTTGCATACATATTGTTTTTAGCTTTTAAATATTGTCTTTTTAATCATGTAAGCAGCCTTGAGTCTTTCTTAAGGAGAAAGATGGGGTAAAAAATTTTTATACAAACAAAGGACCTGCTGTCCTTGGGGAATAAAGTTACAGTCTTTCTTTCTGTACAGAGAGGAAGCTGAGGCTCAGATGTTCCAGCTACATACCTAGCTCCCTCAACATTTTAAATTCAGTAATAGTTTCAGTGCCGGAGAACAAAAAATTGAGATGGAAACACTGTGTCAGTATTGTATTCTTGCATACTTCCTGTTTATATCTAAGGGGCTTTTGCAGGTAAATATCTTGGTGAACTAAGCTTGTATTTGTCTTTGATATTCTGAGAAACTGAAAGAATTTACCATATAAGATGAAAGATTGACCTTGGCTTGTAGTAGGACATCTGCTCCATCTGTGTACTGGCTGATTGATTTGTTACTTGAGGGTTGTCTGCAAGAAGATGTAGTGGCTTAGTTCATTTGTCCCAAGCTACAGTCATGTGGAAGTGATGGGGTATTATTTTGCTCTCTTCCTTTAGTGGTCTCTGTCCACATCGCATCAGCCAAGATGGTGGGTTGCCACACCATCACACGGTGCACTTGGGCTCAGCACAAGCGCCTTGCATTCATTGCATCAAGAAAAAGAGGCACCCTTTGCATCGTCAGGGCCGGTCCAAGGAATCCAAAAGCAAGATGCATCCTGGGGAGACCACTGTATTCTCTGTTGGCAGGTAATTGTTCCAATCGTATTTAAAATTTATTTAAAACATTTTATCCTTCCTCTTATTAGGTTTTAGGATATTTTCCAGCCACATAAAAGTTAAAAACATAATGCAATATCTCATAAAACTTAATGACACTCATGTATAAAGCCCTTCATTGTTTGAACTTACACCACTTGTTGGAGTGTTTTTCCCTAATGTCATCTCCCTGATCCACTAGAGCATCAGGGGTGAGGTTCCTCTTGGTCACCTCCCTGAGGGAGGCCCGTAAGTCTTCTACAAAAGCTGGGGCCTTCTTTGCCATGGCTCCAAATTTGTGGAACCAGCTTCTGGAGGAGCTTTCCCTGGTCCTCCTCCTGTGAATATTTAGAAGGAGACTGAAGATGTGGCTCTTCAGGGAGATTTTCCACACCAACCCTTGCTGACCGCCCATTTTCCATCCATCTTTGTCTTTGTATTACTGCTCTGCACCATCTGTTTTAATAATCATTGATAATTGTTTTTAATGTTTTAATTTTTATTCTTGTTTGGTGTTGTATTTATTGTAAGCTGTACAGTGTAATGCCTCGGCACTAATGGGAGCAGTATACAACTTAAACAAACAAACAAACAAGTTATATTGAAAGCAGCAGCAGCAGCTGCAGCAATATCTTAAATGGTAGAACCTTTCCAATCTGTTTAAAAGAGAACTGTAAACCTCTATCCTCACTGAAGCAAGTGGATGAAGATGCCTTTTTGTTATGAGTGAGATGCCTTCAACATGGGCAGAGGTGATGGAACTGAACACACCTCACCATCCTATAGACTCGGTGTCATATAGCACTGAGTCTATTTAAAGAGGTTTGTTCATGAATGGTATACATAAATGGTATTTTTCATTGCATCCATAAAAGATCCATAAATGTTATAATAACAACAGCGCCACCTGTATTCCCTTCCTTTCTTTGACAAAAATATATGTATATGTGCACATGCATATACAATTTTTTATCCTGTTTTTCTGATGCCTACACACCACTGAATGCATCTGAAAAACAAATATCTGCCTAAATAGGAAGCTTGTTTTCATACTGAAAAATATGAAAAAGAGCCTGGGGAAGCATTGAGGTTACTTGATGCATCACACTACCAGTGGAGGAGGGTACAATTTGCAACTTTGTTTTTATCCTCCCAAAAGATCTGTCCTGTTTTTTGTTTGTTTTGTTTTTTTGGTACTAACTACAAAAATGATCTTCCTACAGAAATGATCTTCCATCAATTAGTTTTGAAGTATGCTTATTGTTCAATTTCCAGTTTGATATTAGTAGTTCATTAAAAACAGCAGAACAGGACTTTATATTTGAGGTAATATTATGCAAACACTGTAAGTACTACAGATTCTATAAACTAAAGGTATAGAACTTCAGATGTTGTGGATTTGAAGTCCCATTAGATCCACCCAAGAATGCAAATACGGCCGCCATTTTCGCTGCCCGGTAAGCGAGGAATCCGGGCAAAAACACAGCGGGCGACCATTTTATTTACCCGGTGGCCATTTTGGAACCGCCGATCATCTGTTCTAAAAACATCGCTATGCGAAAATCGGCAAGCAAAACAGCTTACCGATCATCGCAAAGCGATATTTTACCATTTAAAACATCGCAATGCGATCGCAAAAACAATCGCAAAAAATGTCGCTATGCGGATTCGTCGTTAACCAAAGTGCTCATTAAACGAGGCACCACTGTATGTGTGATAAGAGGAAGTGGGGCAGGGGTTGTGACAGGAGTAGTAAGCAGCCAATGGGAAAATCCTGTTGCTTAGCATAGTAAGTTGTAAATAAAGTAGTCACATTGAGTCAATGGAACTTACAGAGGTGTGACTTATCAAATCCCCACTGACTCAGTGGGACTACCCTGGTTGCAACTTACTAGTTGCAACAGGATTTCAGCCAATATGTTGAGAAGTTGCAGTTTGGTGTGTTATGTATGTATATTCATAAAGTGGTCCTACTGAGAAATTGAGCATAAGATAAACCAACAAACTGATTGTTACAAAGGAACATAAACAAACCCTAACACTTTTGATGTGAAACTCCAATAACTGATCACTATGATGGTTTTTTTTAAAGTGTGGTGGTTCCAGGAAAATTGAAACTATCAAATTCATACAAATTTCTGCTCCTTGGCAGTAAATTTGATGTCCAGTGCCTCTATTTTTCCAGTTTCAGTAAATTACACTTTGAATTTTTAAGAAATTCATTTAGATCAGTGCAATATGATTTAGAATAATAAAAATAGATCTTAAATTGTATTTATCTGAATGGTGCTGTATTTTGGCAGTTGTCTATTGGAAGTGTCTAGGAGTGAGCAGGAGTCTGGAAAGCCTGAAAGCCACCCTCCAACTCGGACGTTCTGTCTTCTTTGCCCAAAATAAATTTATTAACAACATTACAACTGTTGAAAAGTTTTAAATTTTTAGTTAGAATCTACTAAACTACACAGCAGAAGTTCAGGGATTCACAGAGCAAAATAGCTTCAAGTTCCCCAGACCACCCCTTTTTTCCACCAAATGGCATTTACCGTCTGAATAACTCACTCTGAGTCATTAGCAGAAGAAAAAATAATTGAACAAATCAAAGAGCAAACTGACAAACATGACTGCTTTTAGCAAAAGACCAACAGACTCTTAAAGACAGAAGAAAACACTGAGCAGAAAAGTGAGGCTCTCTTTGAGTCCAGAGGCAGGGAAGGAATTATTGGTTACTACTAGATAGATTGACAGTCACCCTAGCCCAGAAAGGTCCCTCTCAGCCAAACCTACTAAAGGCAGTGTGCAAAACTGCAAAAAACTCCCAACAACCTGTTCTGATCCTAAGGCAATAAAATGGAATTTAGAAATGTATGTATGTTAGCATGGCAAGACAGCTCATATTAGGAATCACAGACTAGTATTGACAAGATTACCAAACTATTAGAGAAAGTGGTGAATTTTGAAAGTCCATGCATGGCTTGTGTCATCATCTATATGGGTCCTTTGGAGCCACTGTTGGCCATGCCCAGATGGCATCATTGATGATGTGCAGAGTAGGTTGTGGTATGGAAGTGAACCTTACTCCTTTTGCCTGCCTCTATCTATTTCCTAGGCTGTTATACTACTCCGTTAGTGTCAAGTTCTATTTCTGGGCAGTTTTTGAAAGTCCATGCATGGCTTGTGTCATCATCTATATGGGTCCTTTGGAGCCACTGTTGGCCATGCCCAGATGGCATCATTGATGATGTGCAGAGTAGGTTGTGGTATGGAAGTGAACCTTACTCCTTTTGCCTGCCTCTATCTATTTCCTAGGCTGTTATACTACTCCGTTAGTGTCAAGTTCTATTTCTGGGCAGTTAACAATCAATAATATCAAATCAAAGATGCTTATACCGGTAAGGACTATTTATTTATTTCCTAGGCTGTTATACTACTCTGTTAGTGTCAAGTTCTATTTCTGGGCAGTTAGCAATCAATAATATCAAAGAAATAACAATGACAGGAATGAAAATAAAAGAACAAATGAACTTGAGCATCACAAATCAGAGACACCATGAACAATAACCCATAATAATGTGGGCAGGGCAAGAGACTTCAACTGAAATGCAATTTGTAAGTGTGTAATCAAGGAACACTGCAATATTCATTGTCTGCCATGATGGCTGACAGTGGGTGAATGGGTGGCAGCAGGGCAAGAGACTTCAACTGGAATGCAATTTGTAAATTCAATTCCCCACCCCTACCCCTGGTTAGGGCTATAGTGCTAAACCGATAAGTGTGTAATCATGGAACACTGCAATATTCATTGTCTGCTATGATGGCTGACAGTGGGTGAATGGGTGGCAGGAACTACTGTAAGGGACTGGTTAAAATGGTGGCTAAGAGAGTGGTGATAATGGCAGAGAAGGGAGAGACAGGAAGAGAGCCATGTGACACGTGAATACTTGAAAGACACTTTAATATACTACCTCATTTCAAATGTTCACATGTGTCCAACAGCAGTGATTTAAGTGCTAGGTGCAAGACAGAGAAGTTTGTCTTAACTCAGGACAGCCTTCCATATGGTCATTCCCTTTCTTGGTCTGGCAGGTACTGCCCATTTACCCTCTGAGTCGTAGAATCTGAGCTGTAGATCTGGCAGCCCAAATGAAGAGGATGTGAATTAGCTACCATTCATTGACCTCACTTTTCTTTTTTCATTTCTTTTCTTTTGAATTTTTTTTTCATGCTTTTAACCTTAGATTCCATGTTACCCACATTGAAAAGAAGCTTGATTCCCATGGATCACAGGAAGAGTCTTTCCGAAGTAGCAAGCAGGACCTTGGCTCTGCTGATACAGACCAGGAGATCCACAACAATGAGAAACCCCAATGGGATGGGTCTCAGAATGGAGTAGTTCAGATGGATGGTCTTCTGCAAGGAACAGTTCATCAGGCAGATACTCAGAGTGACAGAGGAGCAAATGAAGATCATGTACATGAGTCAGCTCAAGAGAATAGTCTCTCGAATGTGACAGCCGATTCAGAAGTTTCCATGAATGGACCAGAGAGGAAAGAATATTCTAAAGCAAGCTTGTTGCAACCAGCAGGCCTCCTAGGTACTGTCACAGGCTGTACATCTGAAACTAACTGTTCTGCACAACCCAAAAGCCTTTGCTCAGAAGACCTAAAGAAGGTAGAGAGGCTGGACAAGAGTCCTGATACCTGTGAGGATGAGGGTATTGAAAAGGGAGCTAGTGAAATATCAGAAAATAAAGGAAATCAAGTTTTTCAGCCAGGAAGCAAACTAGATATATCTGGAACTGCGATCACTCAAACAAGCAACAAAGAAATCCAGGTAATTACTGTTGTGTCCCTCCTTTCTTTGACCACAAAAATAACCCTTTCTATTCCTGGGTACTATGTACTAGACAGAGTATAATCAAGGAGAGGGAAAACATATTGAACAAGTTTCAGTTTACATGAAATATTGACATTGGTGCAATGTTTGGATGCCATGGAATGTACTGTGGGTCGTGTTTTACAAGTTCTCCTGTGATAGTGGAGGCACATATTTAGTCAGTGGATAATTGATTTTATATACTGTATACTGCAAATATATATTTGCACATCCTAATTCTCTGTGCTGATTATACACACACACAACACACACACACACACACACACACACACACAGACACAGAATGTGTCTAGACACAGAAACTATGGTGTGAATTCTTCTCTTGTCTCCCATTCCTGCCTGCCTGCCCTTGCTCGCCCTGCAAAGAATATCTTAGAAGAATGTTAAGTCACCAAATGCTGCAGCATCTGAAATTTTCATTTTTTGAACAGTAAAGTATCTTTTTAAAAATAGCAATAATAACAAAATATGTACCCTGTTTTCCCCAAAATAAGACCTAACCTGAAAATAAGCCCTGGTATGATTTTTCAGGATGCTTGTAATATATGCCCTACCCACAATATAAGCCCCAGTTAAGTGAAACCCCTCCCTCCACCATTGTGCAGCAACCAGAAGATGACATGACTGTATTTGAATAAATGTAGATTATTATACACAAAAAACTCTGAAAATAAGCCCTAATGTGTTTTCTGGAGCAAAAATTAATATAAGAGCCTGTCTTATTTTGGGGGAACATGGTACAAGGATAAAGCAAACTTGATAACAAGCTGTAATAAGCTTTACACGATGGTAATGCTGAGACAGCAAGAACAAGATGAACAAATTTTGTCTTCCTATTTAATGTCAACATAGGAGATGAATACTGTTGTAACAATTTCGAAGACAAGTGTTTTTGCTTAGTGTGTTGTAAAGACTGAAAAGGAAAAGGATTCAGGTCAGAGGGACAGAAAAAGGCCCAGGCACTAACTGTTAACATCTACAAGACTTGTTTTAATACTTTCTATTGTAGCTGCCTCGGGATTATGTTGTGGTAAAAGAAAAGAAAAAGTAATATCAATACAGTGTGTTCAGTAAAGGAATCAAACTGAAACAATGTCAAAACCAGCAATGATTATATTTGAGATATCAGTAGAAGGTAAGGAAGTTAAAATAAGAGCAAAAGCGTATCCCGTCAGTCTGTAAAATGGCAGAAGTGAATCAAAAATACACACTATTTAAAATAGGGTGCTTAAATTGCTACTAGTTATTGTTTGAACTGGTTTGCTTCATATTTGCTCTTTCTGAAAAGCCCAGTATTGTGAAATCGTTGACATTTCCTTGTTTTGAGAGAAGCAATTTAATGGAGAAAGGACATGCAGTGTACAACTTTAGATAGGTAGAGTGAGAAAAAAAAATGCTGCGTGCTCTAAGTACTTAATCAATCATTTTGATATGCATAACTTTCAGAGATATTTGTGACTTGAGGCAGAAAGATTCAAATGCCCACCCAGATAAGGTGGCATAGATGTTACAATAGAACAGGGCAAGCGATGGACTGCTGTCCTTTAACACTATCTCAGGTTTGCCCTTGAGACATGCCACCTCATCCTGCCTGAAGGTATGGCTAGCCCTGAAACTTTTCTTTTCATAAGGATGTGTCTCCCTGGTATACATGTGGTAGAGAGAGGTGGGCATTGTATTATTCAAATCCTTTAAGAAGTGCAACAGTCTAGGTCTGAAATCATACTGTATGAAATCACCCTTGGACTGGCAATTTTTCCTGGCCTAAGTTTAGAGAACCACTACTGTAGCTGTCTAATCCCTTTTTCTTAAGTATTATCTGTAAAACCTTCTTGGGTTTTGTAGTGCTTAGGAAGCACAGAGATTCCAAAAAGAATTCTTGCTCCAGGACTTGGGCCTACCATGCTGGAACACCAGCCCTCTCCTCCTCCTCCTCCACATGGCCCACCTTGTGGCCTAGCTACCCCACCCCACCCCATTTATAGTGCAAGAAATTCTTGCCAAATCCTGCTTCCAGCCACTATCATCCTAAGGGCCTCTAAGCAACTGGCATTTCAGGAACCCCAGCACCTTCTCTACCACTCTATTTTAATCCTTGCATTATAGCTACCCAGGGGCTTATTTTTATACAAAATAATCCTTTACTTACTTTTTAAATTGTTATTGCTTCCATTCTCCCAGGAGCAGAGCTCAGTGATGAAGGACCCAGGAGTATCTGTGTGACGTAAGTTCCATGCTCCAGCTGTCAATAGCAGGGACTAGGGGCTTGGGTGTCTTGACAGCTGCACTTAGGTTTATGTTGGTGGAGGACTAAAAGAGATGCTAAATGCTTATGTGTAGGTATAAATTAGATCCTTTAAGCCAGTTGCTAAGTTTTCAGGTAAATGTCATTGTTCTTCCAAAGAGTACAAGTGAGTTTTCACTTACATATTGTTCTCCATTATCAGTCCTATCTTAAGTTGCTTCAAGATGCAAGAAAGCTTTTCTTAAGTTTCCACCAACCACTCTGACCCAGATTCCCTATGAGAGCCGGAATAGAGTTCTGTCTGTACTTGAACTAGAGTTCTTTTAGGGTCAGGTGAAGATTCAGAATCAGAACACTTTCTGGCTTCTTAATGGTACCACATTTCAAGACAGTGGCTAGTAGACTAGGCCTATTGAATCAATGGAACTTGCAGAGGAGCTGATAGCACTGAGTCCCCACTGTTACAGTGAGCTTACTTTATTTTTGATTTACTACTGAAAGCTCAACATAAAAAAAACCCCTAAGATCATGGCCACTGGCCCCATCATCTCCTGGCACTTCTCTTTTTTCAAATTATTTTGCTAAGTATTTGTTATATTTTTCTAGCTTTTGAGGAAAGTGCTGCTTAACCAAATTGCTGTTTTTTTACAAAAAATTGAGAACTGCTCTGGAGTACATTAGTCTCTAGTATGGTACTAAGGTACTGCTCAAGACCTGGTGCCCTATGACACTATGTTGACATCTGTTTACCTCCAGGACACTTTCTGTTGGTTGTGCTGTCATTTTTTGCTTTCTTCAACTATGGCCATTTGTGAAGTTTTTGGAGGTCCCTATGCTACAGCAGTCAGTAATGGTCAAAGTAGAGAAAGGGTGGCAAGCAGAGAAGTCACCTGTGGGAATAGGTATCCTGAAATTTTAGGCGCCTGTCAATTTGCAGCTAGAAAAGAATTGGCTATGAAGTAGGAACTGGCAATGCCACTCCAGTAGTAATGGTCAAAGTAGAGAAAGGGTGGCAAGCAGAGAAGTCACCTGTGGGAATAGGTATCCTGAAATTTTAGGCGCCTGTCAATTTGCAGCTAGAAAAGAATTGGCTATGAAGTAGGAACTGGCAATGCCACTCCAGTAACTTTGCCAAGAACGCCCCATGATCAGAAACAAAAGGCTAAAAGATATGACGCTGGAAGATGGGCCCCTCAGGTCAAATACTGCATAGGAACCTGGAATGTAAGATCTATGAACCTTGGTAAGCTGGATGTGGTCAAACAGGAGATGGCAAGAATAAACATCGACATCCTGGGCATCAGTGAACTAAAATGGACAGGAATGGGTGAATTCAACTCAGATGATTGTCATATCTACTATTATGGGCAAGAATTCCGTAGAAGGAATGGAGTAGCCCTCATAGTCAACAAAAGAGTGGGAAAAGCTGTAATCTGATATAATCTCAAAAATGATAGAATGATGTCAATGTGAGTTATTGGTCCCATAAATGAGATCAAAAACCACGAAACAGGAAAATCCAGGCCCCATTC